CCCCTCCCCCTCCCCTCCCCCGCATGCCGCGCTCCAGGAAGGGCTACGCTTAAGTACGGGGATTTTCGACGAAGAAAAAAAAATACCCCCAAACAAATCAAACAATAGTCCAAAAATAGCCTGGGGACTATTTTTGAATATTTTTTGATATTTTTGGTGCATTTTTGGAATCTTTTTTTCGTCGAAAATCCCCCTGTAAGGGGACACGCCCGACATAAGGGTACGCCTCCAGCGCGTCGCGCCTCGAGCGGAAGGGCCGGCGGTGCCCCACACGCGGAAATCGGCGCCTGCACGACTGCTCCTGACTTTCACTCGCTGTGGACCTGGGCTTGCACGATTCGGGCGCCTGCGGCGAGCTGGTGGTACCACCCACTGTTCGAGGGGGTTCTTTAGTCACGCTTGGTAGCGTCCTGTTGATTCAGAATGTCGACCCCGGAGGTCTCGACCACTTCCCCGGGGCCGACTTTACAACATCCCGAGCTGTCTTTTGATGGTCCTGGGGCCTGGAGAGGGCCACCGAGGGTCGAAGACAAGCAAAAACCGCCCGACGTGATTCTTTCAGGATTCACACGGGGGCCTGGGCCCTTTCCCAATCCCCCCCCCCGCACTGCCGTCCGACGCGAGCGCTGGCACGCCCCCCCCCCCCTCCTCCTCGCCTGTGGCGGTGGCCGAGCTGGAGCTTCTTCGGCGACTCCTCGCGGCAGCCAGGGGGGGGGGGGGGGGGCGAGGCGCCTCGGCGAGGGTCAAGACTCGAGGGCTCGAGGGCGCCACTCGGGGGGCCTTCCAAGACTTTCCAGGGATGCCCCCCGAAGCGCCAGGACTTTGGAGCTCAGATCACCGTCGAGGCGTTCTGAGCCGTCCTGTACAAGTCTATGAACCTGGAAAGCAAGATCTCAGCCCTCTGGGGGGTCAGGGCTCGGGCAGCACCGGAGTGCGCTCGTCGCCACGCCTGGGTCCGCCCCGAAGCTCGGGCGGAGCGCTCCCCTGGACAGGTCCCGGGGTCGGCTTCGGAACTCCGAGCTCAGACCCCCTCGCGACGACGACGACGACGACGTCGTCGTCGTCGTCGTCGTCGTCGTCGTCATCGCCGCCGCCGCCGTCGTCGTCGTCGTCGTCGTCGTGGCCGTGGCCGTGGCCGTCGTCGTCGCCACCGTGGTTGTGGCGTCGTCGGGGTTGCGGTTGGGGTCGTCGTCGTCGTCGTCGTCGTCGTCGTCGTCGTCGTCGTCGTCGTCGTCGTCGTGGTCGCCGTGGTCGTCGTGGGCGTAGGCGTAGGCGTGGGCGTGGGCGTGGGCGTGGGCGTGGGCGTGGCCGCCTCCGCCGCCTCCGCCGCCGCCGCCGCCGCCGCCGCCGCCGCCGCCGCCGCCGTCGTCGTCGTCGTCGTCGTCGTCGTCGTCGTCGTCGTCGTCGTCGTCGTCCTCGTCGTCGTCGTCGTCGTCGTCGTCGTCGTCGTCGTCGTCGTCGTCGTCGTCGTCGTCATCGTCGTCGTCGTCGTCGTCGTCGTCGTCGTCGTCGTCGCCGCCGCCGCCGCCGTCGTCGTCGTCGTCGTCGTCGTCGTCGTCGTCGTCGTCGTCGATGACTCCGCCGCCGTCGCCGTCGCCGTCGTCGTCGTCGTCGCCGTCGTCGTCGCCGTCGTGGTCGTCGCCGCCCTCGACATCGTAGTCGTCGTCGTCGTCGTCGTCGTCGTCGTCGTCGTCGTCGTCGTCGTCGTCGTCATCTTCTTCGTCGTCTTCGTCGTCGTCGGCTTCTTCGTCGTCTTCGTCGTCGTCGTCGTCGTGTCGTCGCTGGGGAGGCGAGGGGGGAGAAGGAGGTGGGAGCGGGGGGAGGAGGATGAGGATGGCTTGACGACGACGACGTCAATCACAAATTAAGGACGAAGGCTTTGGGGAATTTTCGGCCTCGGGGAGCCTTTCCCTGGCTCCGGCTTCTGGCTCTCTCTTCCTCTCTTTCACGAGCCTGCAGCCTCGGTCCCTGACAGGCTGCCGAAGAGGCAACTGTCAGCCATCCTCGTGGAGGAGTTCCAGTCGTTGTTCCGCCGATGACTCAGCACCCTCGACCTTCACGAGCGGCGGCTCGTATCCATATCCACGCCCTCGCCGTCTGGATGACAAGGCGCGATCCCGCGGGTACGCGGTCGCGCGGGTACGTTCCGCGCGGGGCACCCGCGTAAAAACGCCCCGTGTCCGGCCCGCGAGGCCGCGGGTACGGATCTGTTACCCGCCCGCGGCGAGACCCACACACCCACCAGCCGCCCAGAGGGACGAGGAAAGGATGAGAGGAATGGCAAGGGGGGAAAGACGGAGGGCCTGGAGGCCTCCTAGATGTGACCAAACCAAGGAGGAGGAGGAGGAGGAGGAGGAGGAGGAGGAGGAGGAGGAGGAGGAGGAGGAGGAGGAGGAGGAGAGGAGGAGGAGGAGGAGGAGGAGGAGGCGGAGGGGGAGGGAGGAGGAGGAGGAGGAGGAGGACCGCATCGCCGATGCACTGGCCCCCCTCTTGGGAGTCCTGGAGGGTGCCAGCCTCGACGCTCCTGCCTCCGTTTCCCGATCGGCCCGCCCGCCCGCCATCGGCTTGCCCCCCCAGCCCCCTGCACCACTGCAGAGGGGCCTTGGGACACACAAGCCGGTGCACACGAATCCCAGGACTCCCTACAGTTTTCCCCTTCTGATTTCTGGGCCTTCGCCTTCCCCCCATAGTTCCAACATTGTCCCATATTTCCCTGGGAGAGTTGGCGAGTCATTGTGTCTGTGTGTGTTTAATGTTTCCCTCCTGACACTGGCCCGCCCGCCCCCGTCGTCCATCTTCGGCCCGCCCGCCAAAATGCTCTCCCGTCGGCGCCTGGGTGCTCCAGTGTGGCGATGCGAGAACATTTGGCGCGGAGCTCCGAACATTTACCCATCGGTCGGAAGAAGTAGGCAGAAACATGAGGTAGGAAAGCGTTGAACATAGATTGGGTTTCCGCCCGCCCCCCAAAAGAGAACGGAAAAGGTGAAGCCACTCGATCATTGAAGTAGGAAGGCGCCTAAAGTGGAGTGGTACCTGGGAATCGCCAAATACCGAACATTGTGAACGTTCTCTTATTTGGCGTTTCGACATTGGGAGGAAGGCGGGGGGGTCTGGCTATGGACCTCTGCTTAGTGCGTCTGTTTGCAACAGTGCGTCCTATGGGGGAGGGACCCCACCTGATCGAAGCAGGCGCCCAAAACAGCCAAGATGCACTCCAGGGGAGGGGGAGGGGGAGGGGTCTGGCTCCAGACCTCTGCTTAGTGCGACTGTTTGGAGCAATGCGTCCATGGGGGATCCTATGGGGAGCCCTCCGCCTGCTTCAAACATGCGCCCAAGACAGCAAAGATCTACTCCATCGGAGGGGAGGGGGGGGCGAAGGGGTGCGAGGGCCCGCGCCGATCGGCCAAGCAATGAATAAGAAAACGCTCGCATGTACGGTCGGGAGCTTTTGCTTAGCCTGTCGCGAGGGCGGCACTGGCGACACGCTGTGTCCTGCAGGCGGCTCGCGCGTCGCGTCGCTCCGCGGGGCGGGAGGCTCGGAAGGGCTCGGGAAGTTGAGGCCTTGGGACCGGGAAGTGGATAGCGTGTCGCGCCGAAGCGCGGTGGGCCAGAACCGGCGGAGCGACACGTTGAGCCAGAATGCCTGACCGTACCCCTCGCCCGCTCCGTCGTGAGGGGAACGACCCAAGAGTCCGCCGGAGGCGGTTCTGGGCCGCTGTGGTGGGAGACCCTGGGGCGCACCACGAGAGCCGCGCAAGGCTTTCGTCATCGAGGACAACCAAGAAAGAATATCTTACCTCAATCGCGCGACTCGCGGACCAACGAGCACCGCGAGGCACGAGCAGCGCCAGTCGGAGGAGAACTGCGTCGCCTCGCGATCCTCCTCTCCCCGCCCTCGGTCGGCCTGCACCCGGCCGCTCGGCCAGCGAGGGGAGGACTGAAGCCTCGCCTCGATGCCGCCACCCCCCCACCGGCACGCGCGCTCGCCGTCGGTGCGCCTCCGCCGCCCAGCCGCCCGGCCGCGGCGGCTGCGCCCTCGGCCCTCCCGCGCCACCGGCTTGCGCCGCCGAGTGCCTCCGAGACGCCCGCCGCGGGCTGCCGGGCGCCTCTGCGGGCCGCCGGGGTCCGCCGAGGAAGCGGCCTCCGAGGCGGGGCCGAGCGCCGCGACGGGGCCGCCGAGGGCCGCCTCTCGGAGGGCCGCCGAGGGCCGCCGAGGGCGCCTCGGAGGGCCGCTGGGAAGCCAGCGCGGGCCTCCGAGGGCCGCCGAGAGGACGAGGCGGTCGCCGCGAGTCCTGCACCGCCGCCGCCTCCCGAGGTGCGCCGCCTGCGGGCTGCCTTCCGGGAGGGGGGGGGGGGCGGCTCGGCGGCGGCGGCCCTGCCCGGCCTGCCCTGTGGCGGCGGCGGCAGGGCATCCTGTGCACGGAGGGTGTAGAGGTCGGGGTGCGCTCCTGCTTCGAGTTGACGCGTCAAGAAACATCAACTACGAGCGAGGACTTCACCCGAAGCGCTTCTTCAACGGCAGTCCAGGTCCAGATCTGCGAGAACTCTACGAACAAAAACTCCCGGGACACGCCCAGGGACCAGCTGGCCAGTCCACCATCCCAAACACATAATACTCATAAGCGTCACTCTCTGCTTCGAATGCGGAGTCCCTGGAGGTCCTGATGACTTCCCCTCGAAGGACGCTGTTACATCCAGAACCGCTTTTTCGAGGCCGTGGTGTCCAGGGACGGCTCCCCGGGGCCGAACACGCAGCACAAAAAATCCGCTCTGGAGATATCCCGGTCATCATGTAAAGGAAGTTCGTCGCTGCACTGCGGCGCCGTGCGCGCGAATAGAGGAAGATGCGCGCGCGCCTCTGTTTGCACTTGGCCCTCGAGACGATCAGCTGCGTCGGGCGGCCCCGCTATTCGCGGACGGCCACGGGTATTGCCAGGTACTTTGAGGGGGCCAGGTTTGCTGCGATGCCTGGCCCTTCTGGATGGGGCACGGCTTGCTTTGCTGGGTGGCCTGGCTTGCTTCGACGGGTGGTCTGGTTTACCTTTGGGCGGGGTCGGGACTACTTTTGGGTGATCTGGCTTGCTTTGACGCTTGGTCAGGTTAACATGTGGGACAGGTCGAATACACTTTTGGGCGGTCTAGCTTGCATTGATCGGTGGTCTGGTATACTGTTGGGTAGGGTCGGATCAACTTTCAGGAGGCCTGTCTTGATGCGATGGGCGGTCTGGTTTGCTATTGGGCGGGGCCTGGTCTACTATCTATTGGGTGGTCAGGCCTGTTGTGGCGGTTTGTCTGGTTTACTTTTGGGCGGGGTCTGCTCTACTTTTGGGCAGTCTTGCAGGCTGTGATTGGTTGGTCTGGCTTACTCTTGGGCGACGTCAGGTCTACTTTTGGGTGGCCTAGCTCTCTGCGGTGGGTGGTCTGGTTTACTTCTGGGCGGGGTCTGGTCTACTTTTGGGTGGCCTCGCCGGCTGTGACGGGTTGTCGGGTTTACGTTTCGGCGGGGTCTGCTCTATTTTCGGGAGGCCTAACCTGCTGTGATTGGTGATCTGGTTTACGTTTGGGTGGGGTCTGGTCTGTGATTTGTGGTATGGTTTACTTTTGGGCGGGGTCTGGTCGACCTCTGGGACGGTCCTGCAGTACAACGGCTGCGGTCTGAAGGTAGATGGTGCAAGATACGTGGCGCAATACATGTGGTGTGAGCTATGTGGTGTTTTCTATGTGGTGCGGTCCATGTGGTGTAATCAATGTGGTTGACTCTATGTGGTGCAATCGCTGTTGTGTCACCAATGCGGTGTAACTAATGTAGTGGCATCTGTCTGCAATTCATGTGGTGTAACCATGTGGCACAAACAATCTGGTGCAATGTAGGTGGTGTGAACTATGTAGTATTGGTTACGCGGTGCAACCTATGTGGTGCAATCAATTCACTTTGACTGTCTTGAAACTGTCCTTTCCACTGCTCGTACATCCCACGTTCACACCCGCAACTTGGTCGCAAGACCTCTTACGACCGTGACGGTAGGTACCAAATTGCACTTGGCAACGACACCGACGCCGACGACGACAACGACACGACGACGACGGCGACGCCGACGACGACTACGACGACACCGACGACGACTCCGACGACTTCGACGACGACGACGACGACGACTCCGACGACTTCGACGACGACGACGACGCCGACGACGACGAAGACGACAACGACGTCCGCAACGAAGACGACGACGACGAGGGAGGAGGGAGGACGACGACGGCGACAACGACGGACCCGACATGGTGGCCCAGCTGGCGGGACCGTAGCGGACCCAGCTTGGCATGCAATGGAATGAGCCCCTCCCCGCCAGCCAGACCGTAGCGGACCCGACGGGGAGGCCCAGCTGGCCGGACCGTAGCGGACCCAGCTGAGCACGCACTGCAACGAGCCTCCCCACGGGCCGGACCGTAACCGACCCGGCGGGGAGGCCTATCTGGCTGTAGCAGACCCAGCCGGAGACACCATACAGAGCGAACGCGCAACTTGGCGACGAGGAGCGCAGGGACGTGGCGGACGAGAGCCCAGCAGAACATGGCCGGCGAGGAATGAGAGCCGCGGCGCATCCCGCAGGGACAGAGGAGGCACGCGCACTGGACAGACCAAGTCCGCCAGGAGCGCGCCCGCGTGGCCACGGCGACCGTGGCGACGAGGACGCCGGGAACTTGCTACCCCGCCCCCGAGTCTGGCGGTAACTCACACATCACCGACGACACGCGCCGACACCGCCGCTCCTGATTGGAGCCATCCAGGCGATGAGGAAAACCATGAAACTCCCCAAACGGACTAAACAACCAGTCGTCAGAGACTGCGGCCGAACCGCCGATTTTCCTCCCCTACGACAGAACCCTTAGGGGGTAAGACAACGACGAGGGAGGAGGGAGGACGGCGACGACGCGAACGACGAAGGATGGAGGACGGCGACGCCGACGACGACAACGACGAAGGAGGGATGACGACGACGCCGACGCCGACGGCGACGAAATAGGAGGGACGACGACGAGACGCCGACGACGGACGCCGACGACGACGAAGGAGGAGGAAGGACGACTACGGCGACAACGACGACGGAAACGACGACGACGCCAAAGAGGAGGAGGACGACAACGACGAGGAAAGACAGAGGACGACGACGGCGACGACGACGACGAGGGAGGAGGGAGGACGGCGACGACGACGCCGACGACGCAAAAACGCGCGCGCACGCATTTAATAAATATCCGCGTTGCGAAACCATTTTTGTGTGTGTGTGTGTGTGTGTGTGTGTGTGTGTGTGTTTTGGGCACTCGATTTTGAAACCCTTCCGAAACCGACAGGTTTTTGTTGGGAGAATTTCGGCATGCGCGCGCGACGACGCGCGCGTGCACTTCGTCCTATTTTTTGCAAAGGATTCTCGCGACGGCACGCGCGCAAGGACGTTCGAACGATTTCGACATGCGCGCGCGCGAAGCCCGTTTGGTAGT